CACTGAGCTCCAATGCCTCTGGTTTAGTCTTCTGAGCCACGAGCTCCTCCTATTGACTAGGAGTTATTTTGCCGAACTCGTTGATGGGAGTTAACCTCTTTTGGATATACTTCATGTTGAGCTTCGACCTCCAACGTCAGAATGACTCTCCCATCATCCTAAAAGACTTTTTTTACCAGTTCGTGCTTACCCTCCAGAAATCTAAAATTGACCCTCAGCTGCCTATCCCATAGTTCATTCTTTTTGTTCTGTGGTACCTCTTTCCAGTTAGGGATTGCTGAGTTCAATTTATCTCTTACTAGGGCCCCGATCGCATTACGGCATCGTTCTCTTAATTCCTTCGGCTCAAGGATCTCCCTTGCTAGCCTGACCTCCGTTATCACATAGCATGCCTTATCTGGATATAGATTTCCTTTTCTATCCCCTCGTTTCCTCGAGATGTCACGGACGTCGACGTTGTCTTTTCTGAGTTTTAGGAGAGACCTGTATATACGATAGGTCAAAGTGTTAGCAGAGGTAACACAGCCAAAGCTTTAGCAAAATTTACAAGCTAAGGCTTTTTCTCTACCTCCTCGTTCGGGTCAAAATCCTTGTCCAAATCTTTCTCCGTTGGCCTCATTCTGGCTTCAGGTGGGAAAGGATCCTCGGGACTTACATAATCCTCTTCTGAGTCATCATCATCAGCATCCTCTTCTTCTTCACCTTCAGCAGCCTCTCCTGCTCTTCCTTCTGCTCCCCCTTCCACCTCGTCACACTGCTCCTGAGTAAGCATCACTTCTAGATTCTTTTCTAACTCGTTATCGAACTGCTCCTGAGTTAGCTGGTCCTCTAGTGCTTGCTCCTCATAGGTTGGCTGCTCATCATGCTCGGGGCATCGGGCTACACTGTCTGGTGTTCGCGACATTATTTTGCGCTTTGTTCTAATTGACGCAAGAAAGTGTGATTTAGAAACATGTCCAAAAAAAATATATTAAAAAAACTAGTAGTAGTAGTAGTAGAGGCCTAAGAAACATGTCAATCATCATTTGATCATGAACTTAGACCATCAAGGCATCATAACAGAGAAGAGAGGAGAAGGTAATGTAGGGGTGGCTGCTAATGATGCCAAGTTCCTCACAAGTTCTTGATCATCAGCTCATATTCCATATAATGTATGGACTTAGACAATTTCATTATCGGCAAAACAAAGGAGAGGAGAGGAGAGGGGAGATTTGGCAAAAAAAAGCAACAACTGCTTAACAAACATAGTGCAGCAGCTGATGGCAAAAGACAGGACAACAAGTCTTGGGCGAGTCCTGGGAGATTTGACAAAAAAGCAACAGCAGCCAACAGTTAGTAGCTAGAAGTAGCAAGTAGTAGTAGTAAGTAGAAAGTAGTAGAGTAGAGTAAATGTAGCAGCAGAGTGGTAGTAGTAGAGTAAGAGCAACAGCCACTTAGGAGCCTTGCAGTGTGTTATTGACAAGTCCTTCATCGACACTAGCTTCTTCACATTTGCTGAAAACCTAGTCGGGACTTTGATCCCCCTTAGGAAAGTGCATATAGCTCTCTTCTCGTCTGGTGTTAGGTTGAAGTACGCCGTGGGCAGAGTGTATTTTCCATTAGTCTCAGGTACCAGGTGAAGTTGTGGCATTACGTTTAGCTACACCATGTCTTTCCGTGCTTTCAGACCATCCTTTGACTTGCCTATGTCCATCAAGGTAGCAATGAGACTCTCAAAGACATTTCTGCACGTGCATAGCATCAATGGCATGGGGGACCTCCAAGTCTGGCCAATAAGGCAGATACTGAAAGAAGATCGATTGTTTCTTGAAAGGTACTCCTTCAATAGGAGGTGTGCTTCTATCTCTGTTTGTCCCATCCGGATTCTTCTTTCCGTAGACGACGCGTATGTTTTTCACCATTCTATACATGTGTTCTCCGTTATGACGTCTCTCCAGAGGGGGTTCAATCTCCGGGGCGTTGTCATAAAATCTAAAGAACAATTTGCTATGGTACTTGTGACTTGTCTTTAAGAAGCGTCGGTTCCTTAGGTAAGTTATCTGCTTGGATGCATCCAAGTACACCCATGTAGTACCATCCAAGCAAACCAAGCATCCCATCTTTCCTTTAACCTGTCCAGACAAAGCAAACAGTGTGGGGTAATCATTAGTAGTAACAAATATTATTGCTCTACATATGAATTCCTCCTTTCAGAACGCATCGTACATCTACTCCCCATGCCTCCATAGCCTCTCCATTTCTTGCATCAAAGGCTCGAGGAACACGTCTATATCAATGCCTGGTTGTTTAGGGCCAGAAATAAGAATAGTGAGGAGAAGGTACTTTCTCTTCTGACATAACCACCATGTTGGGATGTTGTACATGGTCAAGATCACTGGCCATGTGCTGTGGTCGCTCATCCTCTCATTGAAGGGATTCATTCCATCGGTGCTCAAACTAAACCGTACATTCCTTGGGTCATCGTTGAATTCTTTGTGCTTCTCATCAAACCTTTGCCACTGACTACAATCAGCCAGGTGTGCAATCTTATCATCATTCGCCTTGCGCTCATCATCCCACCATGTCATGAGTGTAGCTTCTTTAGGGTTTAGGAAGATACGTCTCAAGCGGTCGATCACTAGCAGGTACCACATTACCAAGGTAGGAATTCTTCTCTACTTTGCATCGTTGCCTAATAGAGTGTCCTCTGGGGGCTGAGATTCTTGTACCACCTTTTTTATACCCTTGTTATTCCTCTTTTTCCCCGTGGAGGCTTCGTCCCCACCGTAAAGGTCATTGTTCTTGTATCAGCTAGCCCCACATCGGGGACATTTATCTAGTGACTTGAACATTTCGCCACGAAAAAGTATACAGTGGTTAGGGCATGCATGGATTGTTTCAACCCCCATTGTCAATAGACTTATGACCTTCTTCGCTTGGTATGTGTTGGCGGGAACTGAGTTTGGTTGTGGCAGCACCCATGACAGGAGATGCAATAGATCATTGAAACTACAGTCTGACCAACCGTACTTAGCCTTCAGGATGAGCAGCTCAAGCACAAAATGTAGCAATGTCCAATGTGTCGGACAACTCTTTTCAACACCATACACAGTCTCCTTCGATGCTTTTATCACCCTTTCCAAATTTTCTAAACCTTTTGGGCTATTTAGTAAAATCTCTAGTCCAAGGCCTCGAGTCATGTCCTCTAAATCATCTTCATCCCCGACACGTGCTCCACCATCATTATAGGCACCACCTTCTTTGTTACCATCCCAACCACCAGCATCACCACCTTGTTCATTGCCAAACTCGAAATCCATTCGTGCATCAAGCTCTGCTGAATATTGGGACAGGGATTCTATGGTTTCGTCATCGTATTCGTCCTCATCCTCGTCGTTAACAATAATTGTTTCACCATGATGAATCCACACTGTGTAGTCCTCAACAAATCCTCGCATAATCAAATATGATATGATGATAGTCACATCTGTCCATGCCATACGGTTCTTGCAATATTTACATGGGTAAATAATTGTATCCTTATTCTCTTTTAATGTCGTTGCATGCTTCTTTGCGGCTTCAATAAATTTATCCACCTCTTCATGGAAACCTGCCATGAACCTTAACGAACTATACATCCAAAAGTTCCTATACTCCATTTTTACAACAACAACAAAACAAACATTAAAGGACTACTTATTCAGATATATATAAAAATGAAACAAATTAATAATTACTTGAGAACAATTATATATACTTCAGATATATATAAATATAAATCTAATATAATTACATGAAGCATATAAACACACCATGGTAAAGGAAAAATAATTAATGGCCCATTTATCCATAAATAATTAAAATACATATTTATTGATTACAATAAACAATTTCAAAGATAATAATTAGTAACAATCATACTTTACCTAATATCTTTCATACAAACCCTAGTCCAATTTCATCAAACATAAATTTACAAAAACGAAATTAATAAAAAAATCAAACCCTAGATCTAGATCCACATGCACATGAAATATCCATAAAACTAACTAATTGTTCACTAAAATCAAGAAACATGGACCAAATAAGGGTATGATCTTGTTCCCCTCCCTAATTTACCCTAGTACATTTAAAACTTGGGTCTAATTTACTTCATAAGTAGCTCAAGCACCATAGACGAGAGAGAAAAACAAAAATCTAATTACTCGCTAATCAACCATTAAAACTTAAAAAAAAGTGTGGAATAGCATTTTCTTACCTTCTACAACCTCTCTACCAAAGGATTTGAGACCAAAACCTTCCCCCTTAGTAGAGCAATTTTTAGGAGGTGCCCAAGGCCTTCCCACCTTTCTTTTATGGGTTATAGTGAGTGATCCGAGGAAGAAGGTGCTGCAGCTGTTTTTTATGTGGGTCATTTGTAGGGGCGACTGGTGATTGAGCCGCCCCTACAAATCGGAGCTTTATATATGGGGGCATTTGTAGGGGCGGCTCAATCACTAGCCGCCCCTACAAATAGCAACTCCAGGGGTGGCTGGTGATTGAGCCGCCCCTACAAACAGACCCCATTTGTAGGGGCGGCTCGTATCACCAGCCGCCCCTGCTGTTCCATTTGTAGGGGCGGCTGGTGTCTGGTCACCCGAGCACGTCACTGTAGGGGCGGCTCCATCACCAGCCGCCCCTACAAAAAAATCAAACCGTTGCTAAAAATCATTTTTTACGTAGTGCCAGACAATGAGGACGTTCTGCGCGTCGTCGAAGGCGCGCATGAACTCCACGGCGGAGCTCTGGGTGCCCTCATGGTCGCCATGGCCCTCGGTGAGGCACGCTGGGTCAACGCTGCAGATGTTGTCGAACGCGAAGTGCTCGAGCACGTCCTGCACGTCCAGGGTGCGCCCGTCGCGCGCCGCGCGGCCCAGCTGCGGGAGCAGCCGCTGGGCGACCTCAAACCGGACGGCGTCCGTGATGAAGGCCCTCAGCGAGCGCGTGCTGAACTCGTGGCTGGCGTCCTTGCGCTGCCGCAGTCACTGGTCGCCGTTGGAGTTGAAGATGCCGCCGCCGAGGAGGTCCTCGACCATGGACACCGTGGCCTCGCCCTTGGGGTAGTTGTTGAAGTTGGTCTTGAGGAGGTGCTCGATGTTGGCCGGGTTGGCGGTGATGGCGCCGCCGCCGAAGCCGAGGGCCTTGTAGGATATGGTGTGCGTGGGGCTGCGCTGCAGGACGCCGGTCAACCACTCAAGGAAAAGGTACCGATTCTTGACCAGGTGTGGGAGCGTGCCGAAGAGAGGGTAGACCTTAAGACCATGGGCACGAGGCTCCTTCCTGGGGTCCTGGCACCGCTGCAGGTAGCCGAGCAGTTGGAGAAGGATAGCCAGGAGGAGTACGAGGAGGAGGAGGAGGAGGAGAAGAGGAGGGTATGAGGTGACGAAGAGCTGCATGGCAATTCAATTTTTGGCGCGTGAGTGAGAGTCGAGTTGTGGAAATCGATGACACTACTACAGTTTTATTTGTAGGGGTAGCTTTTGGGTAAGCCGCTCCTACCAAAGCGTGGCTATAAATGGCTGATTTGTAGGTATGGTTCGCCAGCCGATCCTATAAATCGAATTTGTTGGGGGCAACTGATGATTCGTAGGGGCGACTAGATATAGAGCGTGCCCCTACAAATACATTTCTAAAAATTCACCAAGAAAAAACTAGATTTTTAATCCTAGGAGGCTCCCACCGGTCAGCCGCCCGCCCGCGGCATTTTCTTTCTCCTCGTATTTGGAATCCAAAAATCGCGCACTTGGAGGCCATCGAGATTCAAACCCGCGACCTCCCCCTCACGTGGTACTTCTCTAAACACTGCGCCTCACACTCAATTACGTCTATAATGGATTTTCATTTTCCTCCTATTATCCTCAACAAATTTAAATTGATTGTTTGAGACCCTAAACAAAATCAAATGAAAAAGTTGTAAACTACCAAATTGTATAACTTTTTGAGATCTACAACTTTCATTTTTGTTGTTTGTCCATCCGAGGTCGTTCAAAAAATTCGAATTTCAAATGTGAGAAATTTAAACATAGTTTTCTTTGACAAGATGGTTTTAAATCAAAAAGTTATCAACTACAAAGTTGCATAACTGTTCGAGATCTACAACTTTCATTTTGGTTGTTTCTCCATCTGAGGTCGTTTGAAAAATTCAAATTTCAAATGTGAGAAATTCAAACATAGGTTTCTTTGAAAAGATGGTTTCAAATCAAAAAGTTGTCAACTACAAAGTTATATAACTTTTTGAGATCTACAACTTTCATTTTGGTTGTTTCACCATCCAAAGTCATTTGAAAAATTCAAATTTCAAATTGATTTCGAATAAAAAAGTTTTCAACCACAAGTTCTATAACTGTTTGATATCTCCAATTTTTATTTTGGTCATCTTTTCATGTAATTTTATTTGAATAATTCAAAATTTAAACTTGAAAAAAAATGACTACAAACAATATTTTAAAATAGTAAATGATTTTAGCTGAAAATGTCATAAAAATAAAAGTTGTAGCACTCATCAAGATCTACAACCTTTATTTTGGTTATCTGTTCATCCGACAAAATGGTAGTATACATTGTTCACAAATTTATATATCTCTCTTATAGTTTCTGTGAAACTATACGAGAGAGATGTAAAATTTTATGAACAATTTTCGGATGAAGAAATGACAAAAATAAAAGTTATAGATCATGATCGGTTCTATAACTTTATGTTCATGATTTTTTTATTTGAAATCATTTACTGTTTCAAAATGTTGTTTGAATTTGCTATTTTTTGAAATTCAAATTTTGAATTGATAAAACGAAGTCACATGAAAAGATGACCTAAATAATTATTGTAAGAACACAATAAATTGATAGAGCATGATTTTACAAAATTGTATGAAAAAATCATCAAATTTGAAGTAAGTACGAGTGAGAAAGACTAAGTTTTAGCCAGAGATTAAAAGGAGAAATCAGAGTTATTCAATAATTTAAAAATTAAATTTCCAACAGCATTTTGAAAACGTAAATAATTTCAAATGAAAAAGTTCTAAACAACAAAGTTTTATAACTTTTCGAGATCCACAACTTTATTTTGGTCATTTCTCTATCCGAGGCCGTTTAAAAAAATTCAAATTTTAGTACTTTACTTTTACTATTCGGCGTCTATTTATAGTGGTGGCTGATAACACCAGCAGCCCCTATAAATCAGCTCGTTTATGGACCATTTGTAGGGACGACTCAATATAGAGGCATAAAAAAAGATGTTGCTATAAATCTTTTCTGCAGTAACGTGAGACTCACGTCTGTTAGTAACTTAGTATATAGTAAGAGCAAGGCCGATAATATTCTCGGCTACAAGACAAACATAGGTCAACAATAACAATCACACCATACGATACAAGTCTATATGGGAATTGCTTATCCCTCTATTAAGGTCATAGGTGATAGGCCCACAACATATACTGAGGTGTCAACAGCACTGTATGTTGAGCTTGTCACGACTCTACAACTACATAGATGATAGGCAAACGTACGTGTCGAGCTGAGCACTAAAATCTGACGACAACCAAACCAACCCGGCCTCTCTCTTCTGTCTTCTCTCCTCTATCTCATCTTGCTTGCTGAGACTTGTTTGGCGTGACGGCAAATTGTTGTACTTGCTCTAATCGGCTGGGGTTCTGTTCACCAATCACCATCACCATTAGCAAATCGACGAGGATTTTGAAAGCCTCAGACTTATCACATAGTGCCTCGCATTCAGGCTGTTTCAGCTATTTTCCTACGACCATTAATCAACTGAATGCGTTGGATTTTATCTTTTGAGAGCGCCAGGCTTATCAACAAGTAGTACGAGGAACTGTCGAGGTGTTTTTCACAAAAGACAAAAAACAGAAGAAAGAAAAAGGCTGTGTACCTCCATTCAGTTTGTTTCAGCTATTTCCAACAACCGATTGTTGAGAGCCAGTAAACAACCGGAAGATGTGCTGACAACAACTAACACACGAATTACACGGTGCAATATATCCTAAACGCTAAGGCCCCGTATAGATCCTTTCATTTAGCCTGAATTTGAACCTACCGCATGAACCAGGGTATTTGACTTAAAATTTGATATTCCACCGCTTCCTAAATCTTAAATATAGAACTATGTCAAATTTACGAGGTAAGAAATGAAAGAGATAGTAAGAAACGGGAAGAGAGATTCATCGCCACCCCCACAACCCAATCTCTTACCACTACTAAAAAAAAGGTTTGTAGCAGCGGCTTATTTTTTTTATAGGGGCGGCTGGGGATGGAGACGCCTCTACAGTGGGCGTGCTCGGGATTCACAAGACCAGCCGCCCCTACAAATGGCACAGTAGGGGCGGCTGGTGATACGAGCTGCCCCTACAAATAGGTCGATTTGTAGGGACGGCTCACTCACCAGCCGCCCCCGGTGTTGCGATTTATAGGGGCGGCTCAATCACCGGCCGCTCCTACAAATACATTTGGCCCACTGATCTCGTCCATTCATCTTGATCCAATGGGGAGGCTCCCCTTCGTATCGAACCCCGTGCCCGATTTGCGAAACCCATCGTCACCGCCCCTGTTTTCGCGCGACCGCTACCGCGGTTTCGGTTAAACCGCTGGGCCCTGCCTGTCCTTGCTTGTCCCCTGCCGCCTTCCCTCTGAGACCGAGCATGCGCGCGTGAATTGGAAATCCGCCGGCCCCGCCGCTTCGCACCTGCACCCAACCTACCCAGTGAGACCGACGAAAGAGCCCCACTACCAGATGGCGCTCAGGCACTGGCCAGTCAACCTTCAGGAGGTCCCCCACAGCCGCTTGACCCAGCGTCGTCCCAATTTTCCCGCGCGCGACGGCGCGTTTGGGGAGGATTGGCGCTGGTTGCTGGCCGAACCTGCTTCACCGGCCCCACCTCATCTCGTTTCGCGTGCGTGGTATGAAAAACAACCGGCGCCGTACCCTGGTTTGGCGAATCCGCCGTCGCGTGGCGTGCGGCCAGTGGCCATCTCCCTTACCGCCACACGCACCCACCCCTTCCTTTTCCCAGCTGCACCCTAGCTCTAGCCTCCCTTTAGTGTTCTTGAGAGAGGTCCATAAATTATTCACTCGTCTGTGTAATTCGAGTTTGTAACCTGAGATTTGCTGGGAAGTGAGGCCCTTACCTCACGTTGCCCTCCGGGGTTCATCTCTTTGAGGTGTGTATTTTTGTGTTTGCTGTTCTATGTTCGTCGTCCTTCTCCCTCCCCTTTCTTGCTTCATCTTTTTGGATTGAGATGTTTTGGGGAGTTTTTAATTCATCCATGGCGAGCTAGGACACATGCTGAACTAATCCCTCCAGTGATTCAAATCAATTTGGCACGAGCTCGTAGATCGATCCGGTTTTCGCTTTTGAGGAGAAAAACCCGTTCTTGTCTACAATCTGAATTTTTCCTAGAGTTTGGATTAATCACAGGCGATGATTTCTTGGGGATAGATTTGTAGCAAGTCGAATTTCTCCTGTGCAAATTCTAGGGATGAATCATGGAGGTTTGGGTAGGATTTGATTGAATTTCTTGGTGCCGCCTTTCTTGTTCGTTCTTTACTGTTCTTCGTCAGGTTCTTGCTGTGGTTCCGTGAGGGCGCCTGTGAGCTGCCAGTGCTAGCATCCTGGTCATGTGCATCTCCTGGCCAAGTTGCTTTGGCAGCAGCGTGCATCAATCCTCCAGGCGAGCACCTGTTTTCCTCCGGTCCTTATGTAAGTTTCCCGTTCATTCTTTTGCTCGCCCCCCTCTGTTCCTTGCGCACGAGTGCTCTGTTGGATGCGTCGAGGTATCAGGGATGGGCTTCAGTGAGCATCCGCTCAGCCCAGGCTGCTCCGGTCTCCTCGGCGCCTGCGGCTCTCGTTCCCAGTGCCGGCTGTGAGCAGACCCGCGACTGCTCGGTCCACGTCGTTCTCGTCCAGGAAGCGTCGCTCAGCTCAGGTGCAGACAGTCTGCCATCAGGGTGCGGACAGTCTGCCGCTGCAGCGCACGTCGAGAATCGTGGGGAAGCGAATCGTGCTCGCAGCCGGAGAGAAAAGCTCGAGAGCCACACACCTAATTTCTCTCCTCCTCCCATCCACGCGCTAAGAAATTACGGCGGCTGGGCATCCCGTGCGAGTCGGCGCCTCTGCACTAGCTCAACAGGTGGGCCCACAGGGAGGGGGAGCGCGGTAGGGACTGCAGCGGCTGGATCTCACGCACCCTCGTGCGCGGCCAAGGCGACGGCGACTGGATCTACGGCGGCGAGGTCCTGGCAGCAGTGGGCCCGTGCCTCTACGCCAGCTCGGGCGGCAACCGGGCACACGACGCGCGTTCCCTTGCCTGCTCGCCGATGGCCGTGGGCGCGGTGGCCTCTGCAGTTCCGGGGGCACTACGACAATGGATTTGAATATTTTTTTCGGAAAAATATACTGTAGGGGCGGTTCTAGACTGAACCGTCCCTACAAACAGGTATTATTGGGGCAGCTGGTACAATAGCCGCCCCTACAAATACATGATTTGTAGAAACGGTTTAGTAAGGGCGGCTGGTCAAACCGTTGCTACAAATGGTCTTAAGCCACCGCTAAAAATGCTTTGTGGCGTAGTGTACTCTCGTCTCTCATGTGTTTGAACACAAAGAGCTTCTTTGTGGGGGATCCTCACTGCTGCCACCGAGTTCTTTTTTTTATGGAAACGACCCGGGGTGGGGAGGGGGGGGGGGTTATGAGTCCCCACCTGATATATCAACACTAATCCCACTCAAGCTGGTGGTGGAGGGTAGTAGGCCAGGCAGGAAGTGCCTACAACTACAATCGAGTTTCACACGATATGAGAGGGGGAGGAGTTCACATAGAGAACATTTCACGCCTAGGGGTGGTGTGGCAGATGGGGTGGCTAGGGCCGGGGGCGACAGCGGACGGTGCAACTAGGGTTGGGTGTGGTGGTGGACGGGCCGGGGTCACTGTGTAGAAGAAGGAAGAAACTAGTGAGAGGATGACATGCAGGTCTCATTTAACGCCAAACTGTGATGACTCCTCTCTATCCACGTCCCTCCTACCAAGCAGAGACCCCATCCCCTCAACCAAACACACATATGAGATCATTCCATCCCAAAAATCTAGAATGTACCGGTCTTGTCCCTCCTAGTCCCCAGTAAACATAACCTATAGGAGAAAATGTCAACATCTATAACCAAATAAGGAGCATTTTATGGGTTATAAAATAAATTCTCACAATGATGTATCACAGATGTTAATTTTTATTTTCTAAAAGTTTGATCAAATTCAAAATAGTTTGACATAGGACAACCTGAAACTAATTGTATTTTGGGAGCTAGTAGAAAAATACTCTCTCCGTCCTAAAAATAACTAATGTTTTAGTTTTTTCCCTTTATAATACTAGATAAGTATTATTAGATTTTTCACGAAATATATTTTTATACTATACCTATTTGGTGTAAGAAATATTAATGTTCTTCATATAAATTTGGTCAAATTTAAAATGGCTTGACTTAGGATAAACCTGAACATTAATTATTTTTGGACGTAATCCCTACGTCATGTAGTATAGTACATTCTAGTATTCAAAATTTGTACTCAAATATAAGGGATTCTAGGAGACTTAAACTAATTTTTCATTACATACTTTTCATTTCTCAGCTGATCACCATTAATCATGTTGGCACATATATTACATGACATAGGGAGTAGGAAGTACTATATTACATGACATAGGGAGTAGGATGTAAATGACGACTAGTTGCCGAGTGATCAACCTGCCTTAAAATAGCAGGATATCAGATCATCTGGTATCTTGTCACAGACATAGCTCAAAATAAATAAGTACTAACTATAGAAGGGTTATCTTTTGGTGATAAATAACTTGCAATTTTGTCTAAAAGGAAAGGATTTAAAACTTGTGATAGAAGTAGCAGGAACTAAATCACTACTAATTTTGGAGTAGCATGTCTTTGACAGTGACTAGGTTTCCCCTCTATATATGTAACTGCATAGAACAGGCGAGCATTGCATACCGCTATATATAACAATATATAGGTATAAACTCTTCTAGGATCGCGAGGGGTTTCTTTAATTTTCTTGCGACATGGAGAAGTACATAAAGCGCGCGGATGCACTAGTGTTGTTCTCTTTACTTCTCCTCGGATACTTTGCTGCTCATACGCATGGGAATGGTAAGTGAAAACTATACAAACATGTGCGCTTTAGGTAGATGTAGATAATTTAGAAGATATTATATCATGATGCCGTATATCTGTCATGATGAATTGGTGATATATCAAATGTGTTAAATTACTCAAATAATGCAGACATATATCTACAATAATTTGTTGCTAAAACATTTTACAATTATTCTCGCGAGCAATTTAATTTGTTGGTACAAGCTAGGCTTATCCGTTACCTTTTACATAGAGGTGAAGCCATTGGCATAGATGAAGTCGGTGCTCCATCTCCAGCTGAAGAAGTAATTATGCGAAGATCAGGAGCACAATGTGCTCAAAATAATCCTCATCTTCCATGCAAAGATAACAAGTGCTTCTGCTGTATTGGGGGCTGAACTCATGATTGTTATTATACAATGGATAAGTGTAAGCAATCCTGTAAAATAAATGAAGATCCCTGTCATTAGTATACAGTGTAACGGTAGGCAATGTTATTGAATAATATATAATGGAATTTCAATTTCAGAATGAGATTTTTTTCGGCCACTATAGAAATTCATGAAAATTCGACCAAAATTGTGCCAATTTTTTTAGATACTTAAACATGAAGTATGTTTTCCTAAAATCTTTACTAAACAAAATATTAGAATGAATTTTTTTGAAAAGCAGCAAGAGAGTTGCCGTATTATATTAATATATAAGAGAAAAGAATTAAAACAACTTTCAAGAACAACTTAGAATGATTTATGACTACACACCTATTGAGTAGTATAGAATATGCAACATAAACAATAGAAACTGTGAATCTAGAGTTATATAGGACATGTATTAGTGTAATATGAAAGTTCTTATTTTTCTTTCGGCCACGGCCACCCATGAAATTACCGAAAATCCCAAAATTCCTGCGAAATCTCGCCAAAATTTTTAACCCAGAACAATTGACAAAAACAAATTAGAAAAATGCTACCTTTTGCAGAGACTCTAGATTGGTCATGGATGACATCGCTACAGTGTGGTGTACATTCTAATCATGTCACTGGTTTGGTTCCCTGCCTGGGCCTAGGCTCGGGCCTGAGGCACCCCTCGTGGAGGAGGGACTCAACACCGCTGTGTTAAGGCCACAAAGTGTTACACCTGCCACATTTCGACTTCATCTTTGATTTTTTCCGTTGGCCAAAAGCATATGATTCAGCGTTTCCTTGCAATAAAAAATCCGCACATTGCACTCAATTCCAATTTCTCCTATGAGGTTCGGATGATTGGTTCCTTCCCGTTTTGTTGAAATTAAGGAATCGGTTCCAGATTTTGAATAAGTTAGGATGATCGATGACCTGAGCTGGAGGAGTCCATGCATGGCGTTGCTTGGGGGTAGAGGTCGTGCCAGATTAGCGGTATAGGAGGGATTCGCTATGCGACCATGAATTTGGGTGTATCTCTCCATTTTTTCGGTCCTGGTGTAAAGGTTTTTCTATATATGCACTTTGGTATATGGACAACAGCCCCAACGCGGTCAGGCGAGCTCAGGGCGACGTGGTTGGGCAAGCTATGCTTCGACAGCCGAACGTGCGAGCTCAGCCTAGCATGAGTGCGCGAGGTGGGTGGTGTGGCTGAATCGTCTAAAATAACACACTTACGGAGGTGCTCGTCTTCTATCAGACATTAAGCACCTCGAAAGCAAGCTACAGTGGACGGTATCCGTCGGGCATACTCCAAAGGAGAACCCGAAAGATCCACATTTTTTCCAATGATTCAATAATGAGAACGAGTTACAATACTGGTCCATTTCATACATCAGAGTTTCTTAAAAAGTACATTATTACATTACCAAATATCAGAGTGCGGAATAATAAACAGCGGAATTTAAAAATACATCTAGCGATAAGGGACGAGGATCCGTCTGAGCCCACCAGAGGAATCCTCCACACAAAGGTACTTCTCATGCATCACCTGCAATAGGGGTAAATAAACTCTGAGTACACAATGTACTCGCAAGACTTATCCGACTAGTGGGAATAATTTTTCGACTTCAAGGAATATGATAAGTTTCATGGTTTGCTGGTTTTCTTTTAGCAAAAAGCAATACTAATAGTAAGTCCTTATTTATGTTATTGTTATCAGCCGTATTAAGTTATTATCTATCCAGTCTATATAAGCACATGTTCTACTTTCAAGCAAGAGTTGAGCAATCAATTTCATTTCATCACCTTTCATCTTTCAATTCTTACTACGATGCTGACACGAAACAAGCTATACCGGCGATTCGCGAATCAATGCCCCCAGCTGGGTACCCCGAAACACACGTCCCGCTTGTACCTCAGGCACAAGCAGGACTAACCCATCACCCTCCTGTCCTGGGTGTCCAAGTCCCCGTTCAAACTTGGACTCCAAGCCCTCACTTCTGAGTCACAGACTCAGTACAGTGCAAAGACCTCCACCATCTCCGCCTCCAATCAGTCGGTCCAGAAAGAGCCGAATCCACGACAAGAGAGCAACGAGTCTTCCCTGCGCCCATACCCAAGTATGTGCTCGGGATAATAAATATGTGACTTGTCCACGATGCCTTATGCAACGACCGGTCGTTAATTGACACAGACAGGGAAAAAGTGTAACCGAGCTATGCCATATTAGCCGCAGGACACAACCCATTACACCCACCAATACCCAAACCATATCCCTGCCCGGTCGCCATTTTGCCTTTCCATCATTTATCATGAGTGATCATAATTATCACCTATTTGTGAGTAATGACAGGTTACCCACGCTACCGACATCCTGAGCATAGCAGCTACTCGACCTGTACTAGTAGGACTCATAGGTAGATATATTTATGCATGTAGTTTTCATAAAATGCCTGTAACGTAAATGCACATCATCGATATATATTCAGTGGTCATTAAAATAGAGGTTATGCACCGGGGCTTACCTTGGGTAGGCGCGGTGTCAGCAAAGTCAGTGATGGGCGGCTCCGGAACGTCCTCCTGCACGAGGATCTCCTCCTCGTACTCTTCGATGACTTCGTCGTACTCCTGCTCGCCGAAGATCACGATCTCGAGTGGCTCATTCTCTGTATGCATGAAACGATGATGATGCAATAATTAATATTTAGGCAACCGCAATTCTTAAAATAAGAACACGCTTATCGTGCTAACAAGCTAGCTCTACCGATCTCATACCAACTAATTTCTTAAATGATTTCATATGCTTTAAATTAGGGTATGTTAGCTACCTTAATAAATTAGCTATTCAGAGGCTACAAAAATTACAGAGAGCATCTAATATTATCATGAGTCTACTATAAAATTTCTAGGGCTAGCATTTCTACCAATGCATCACAAAAAGTCAGTCCCTAAATAACCATAATAATAACAAGCAACCTATAATTAATAAGTAACCCTAAAACATCGCAGAACCATACGAACAAAATACACCAACAGATAGATCAGGAATTTAGGAATCTAACAAAATTTATTTCACAATAAATAAATAAATTCAAATGAGCTCTAGAGATGAAAAAAATGATATTATTGAAGGAGGCTAATCATGCTATTGGACTTGTTGACCAGCACATGACTATGAGTCTTTGGTCCTTAACGTGATGAAGGGGGTGCTGGTTCATTTATGTATGTCAAGGAATTAACGGAGGAGGAGACCACGGGTCAAGGTAATATTGGAGAACGAGGGAATTATTGCAGGCTAGCTACCTCAGTCGATTGCAGCTCGGGAAGGAAGTTCGACAGAGCGCAGCTGGAGCTCGGAGAGAGAGAGACTGGAGAGGCGAGAGGAGCGAGCAGCGGCGCAGGACGGTGGCGAACTCGATGTCGCCCTTTTATAGGCAGGAGAAGTGAAGGCGCGGCAGCGACGCGTCGTAAGGTTAGTGGCTAACTAGCTTGCTGAAAGGTAATAAAGCGTTGCCGCGCACGACGCGCTGATCAGATGAACAGTGTTTTCCGTAGGGAACAGTGTTTTCCTATGGTGAACAGTATTTCCTGCGGTGAACGCACTTTCTTTGTGCTACAGTCTTTCTGCGTTGCTGCAATGATGGCGCGTGGAAAGGTGTCTGAGCTGCGTTTGCAAAGCAACTCAGCAGCGAGCAAGCAGCGGGCAGAGCTTGTGATTGAGATTAATGTGCAGTGTGTGCGATGCTGCTGCCGGTCGGTCATGTGCTGTCAACTTGACTTGCTTGACACGACAAAGTAAAAGCACTGCGTCTTGCCAAAGAATGTATTGAAGCGTGCTTTGCGGGCTTGTGAGTGCCGAGTGCATGCATAGGAAATTAAGGAGGAGAAGAATAATGAGAGCTGGAGTTGGATCAGGATGAATGAAAGTGATTTGGGCTGCGGGAGAATACTTGGACAAGGAATAAATTAGAGCTTAATTTGAGAATTAGTGCAACAAAATTTAATTTCTCATTTTGCCACATGCAAAAATACATAAATATGATGCTCATGACTTGGTTTTAGCAAAAACTATACAATGTAACACCGAGGGTGTTACAGGTGGTCATGGCGGGGGCGCAACGAGCGGGCCAGGATTCGCGTGGGCGGCTGTGAGCACACTAGATGGGGACGGGGGTAGAAGCAGTAGTTGGGGCCTGAGGCCTAGGGGTGGCGTGGCAGATGGGGCAGCTAGGGCCGTGGGTGATGGCGGACAGTGCAACTAGGGTTGGGTGCGGTGGTGGACGGGCTGGGGTCACTATGTAGAAGAAGGAAGAAGCTAGTGAGAGGATGCATGTAGGTCCCGTTTAACGGATGTCTAACAGATCCAAACTTTGATGACTCCTCTTTGTCCATGTCCCTCCTACCAAGCACATGACCTCATCCCCCCCACCAAACACACATATGGGATCATTCCATCCCAAAAATCTAGAATGTACCGGTCCTGTCCCTCCTAGTCCCTAGGCCAAACACAACCTATATTTCAAGGTAAAGGGAGTAAAAGAAAATATCAACATCTATAACCAAATTAGTAACATTATATGGGTTATAAAATAAATTCTCACAATGTATGTGTCACAAATGTTAATTTTATTTCTAAAAGTTTAGTCCAAGTTAAAATAGTTTGACTTAGGACAACCTGAAACTAACTGTATTTTGGAATGGAGGTAGTAGAAAATACTCTCTCCGTCCCAAAACTAACTTATGTTTTAATTTTATCCTTTATAACACTAGATAAGTATTATTAGATTTGTCACGAGATATATTTTTATACTATACCTATTTGGTGTAATAAATATTAATGTTCTTCCTATAAATTTGATCAAATTTAAAATGGCTTGACTTAGGATAAACCTAAACATTAGTTATTTTTGGACGTACTCCCTCCGTCCTGTAATATAGCGCATTCTAGCATTCAAAGTTTATACTAAAAGATAAAGGATCCTAGGAGACAGGAACTA